AATAGTAAAAGAAACTTTAAAACAATGGGGAGGGAATCACCTAGGCCTAAATATTTATGGAACTATTCCTCTTTGATGGTCTAAGATTTCCACCATCCTGAGATTAAAGGCTGAAAAGTTGAAAACATATATCATAGCAAATATTATCTCTTTAGAACTTAAAGAAAAAGATATGTATATTTTTCTTCTTTGATAATAGCTAGAAATGCATTTGTTATTTTTCTGGGGTCTGAAAAATCACATATTTTCTACTAAATAAAATAATTTAATCTTTCATCTTCTAGAAAAATCCATTAGGAATTTACTTAAACTGCACGTGATTGAATCTTTACTAGTTTAACAATACTGGAGGGGGGAAAGTCCTTTGTCAAACTTTTCTTTCTTTCTAACATACTTTATTTTACTTTCTCTGAATACTTAATGCACAGGTAAAACTCTTGGTAAATAAATAATCAGTCCCTACAGCTATGCAATTTAAAATGCATTTATGAAAGGTTGTGGGTCATCATATATGGTAATGGAGTGTGAACAAACAAATTAATTCAAAGTATGAAGGAAAGAACTGGTTTCAGGTAGCAGTCATAAAACTTTTAGTCTTTATGACTTTGGTCCCAAGAACATGCACCAGCCAGGAGTCTGCCAGCCACCAGTTACAGCTCACAGCCATGAAGTCCCCACAAACCCTCGACCTGAAGTCTCTCTCCGTACTTCGATGATAAGCTAACTTTATAATTGCTGTTTGGGTTTACAAAGGAGACATTTATTAAAGAGTGAAACCAAGTTTTGCTTCGACATGTTAGAAGAGGGAGATGGCAAGCATAGAGAAATGATTTTGCCTTAGAGTAAACTACTTCAAAGTAAGATTTTCAGAAAACCCACTGGATTTATCCTCACTGGCAGTATCCAGGAAAGGTGAAGTAACTTGCTGGAGGACAAGCACTGAATTAATCGCATTGCCAAAACTAGATTCCAAGTCTCCTAGTCTATATGGTGCAGGGATTTTTCAGCTCCCACATGAGAGCAAGGAATGGGAATGGATTCTGTACTTATAAATTTACCATCAGACCTTTATTGTCAACGGAAGAAATATACATTCGAGGGATTATTCCCCTCTGTGTTATAAATATATTTAAAACTTTGAAACTCTAGCAGGTTGAACATACTTACCTACGAGAGAGTTGAAGATCCTACAGTGACTCTGTTTTTTAATAATTTAGAAAATTATTGCCTTACTAATTTCTATATATAATGATTTCCTTGACACGCCCTCATAGAATATTATTTTTGCTTCACATTGTGATGTCCCAGTGATAAACTGAAGAACTGTTAAACTGTAACCAGAAGGGTATCCATCAGATAGAAATGTTCACTTAAGGAGAAATTTAAAATATCCCATTTATTCTTTAGCCTACATTGTAAGATATTGTTTTGTTTGTTTGTTTGTTTGTTTTTACAATCATTGGTATTCTCATCAATCCAGATCTAAGGGTCAAAGTTACCATCAGAATTCGTAAGAGAGCAGAGCAGTTTCCTGAACCAAACCCTCAAGTTCAGGTTTAATCAGGAAACATGGGTTTTATTGCCAAGATTGCCTTTAAAAAGTGAGTGACTAAAGTTCTGTCTCATGGACTCCCCAATTAACCCAGAAAGAGGAAATTGCCTTCTCCTTGACTGAGTAACCGCTGATGGTCTGGCCATGGGATCTTTTTTTTTTTTTTTTTTAATTTATCTAATTTATTTATTTTTGGCTGTGTTGGGTCTTCGTTGCTGCACGCGGGCTTTCTGTAGTTGTGGCGAGCGGGGCCTACTCTTGGTTGTGGTGCGTGGGATTCTCATTGCAGTGGCTTCTCTTGTTACAGAGCACGGGCTCTAGACACGCAGGTTTCAGTAGTTGTGGTGCATGGGCTTAGCTGCTCCGCGACATGTGGGATCTTCCCGGACCAGGGCTCGAACCCGTGTCCTCTGGACTGGCAGGCGGATTCTTAACCACTACGCCACCAGGGAAGCCCTGGCCATGGGATCTTGATTAACTAGAATATTGACAATTTAAAAAGTTTTTCTGAAATCAAATCAAATAAATGAATCTCCTGACCAAGTAATCTCTTTAACATTCATGAGTATTTTAACACATTCCTCAATTCCTTGCTCCCATTGATTTTTTCAGTTATGCAAAATAAAAGTTACATTTGAACTACTCAGCTGCCTTATGAATACAGAATCCTTTCAGAGAAAAATATAATTTTTAATTGACTGGAGAACAACCTCAAATATTTCATCCATCTGTTATCGACTGTATTGTATAGACACGTGAGGATCCAATATGATAACTCTAGCCACGTGTGGCTATTGAGCGCTTGAAATATGGTCAGTACAAATTGAGATGTACTATCAGTGTAAAACACACACTGGATTCCAAAGACATACTATGGAAAAAAAGAATGTACAATATCTCATCGATATTTTTATAATGACCATATGCTGACATAATATTTTACACAGATCTATTAAGTAAAGTATATTATTAAAATAGTCTGTAATTCCGGTCCCTCCTACAAGGTGGGGTGCCCCTACTGCTAATGAATATTTATATTACAAATATGGGAAGTACGATAGTCTGCAAAAATGAAATGTATTTTTTAATGTAAGGATCCATACCTGACCCCAAGTTATTTCACTAATTTCTTTTCACTGTTTTTGAAGTACCTACTGAAAAATTTTGAATTACATGCGTGACTTGCATTTGTGGCTGCTATAAATCACCAGTTTCTGCCCAGTTCAGCCTCAGTTTCTATGGACTTTGTTTATCCATGTCTTACATTGGTGTGACTATATGATGTCAGCTTTCAACTATCTGTGTAAATAGGGACTGAGGATGCTTGATTAAGATATTTCTCAGGTAATTCAAAACTAAATTTTAACCTTTAATTTCAGTTTCCCATGCCATTCAAATTTTTCCTAATGCTGTCAGAAACTAGTAAGATGATCTGACCTGGGATTCATTCACTTTCTGTCTCTTATTTAATGTGGCCTGCACAGAGGAAACAGTGAGAAATGGAATACCCGAGAGGGAAGGAAGAAAAAGAAATAGGAGGCAAGAATGGATAAAAAGAAGCTAGGTCATCTGCTTTTAGGTGGTAGAGATCGGGTGGCCTTCAATTCAATACTGTTTATCGATGGCCTGATGAATGGCAGGCCCTTGGTTGGTATTGAGAAGTAACCCATACCACCACCTTCCTCCAATTCAGTTCACATACAATAATTCTCATCACATTATATTACATTGGTTACCCAAGTGTCACACTAGTATCGTGAAAAAAGTCTTATGGGAGAACAAAACTGGGAGAAATCCTTGCTTAGAGGACTTGCTGGAAGAAGGAGACAAGGAATCAAAATCACCTTGGAGTAAACAGCCCAGATTAGGGTCATCTTACAGTGGCAGACTAGTGGTACATCAAAGCCCAAAGAAGCAAGAACTCTTGATCATGGCAAGAGCAAGAACTTCAGTCGTCCCCGAATAAAGTCCTTATAATAAACACTGAATATTTACATCATACCAGTCCCATTTTAGAGGGAAAATACGCCTGTGTCTAAGGCCTCTTAGCTAGTAATGTCAGAACACGTCATCCTAGGCTTACACCAGTTTAGACCACTTAAACAAGATAAAGTTGTGCTTTAATAATGATAATCAACTGCTGAATCTAAAAAAATTTCCTAATAATTTCAAAATCCTTTTACTGGAAAAGGTTGCTTTCGGGGAGCGTAACAGAGTGTAGTCTAACCATTAAAGAGTCAGGTAAGTGCTAGATAGGCTAAAGTAAGTCGACGGCATCTGAAATTATTCAGTCAAACCTAAAAGAAAAGCTAGAGAGTTGTTTGTTCTTAACTTGACAGAAACATAGCTATTTCCTTCCCCATTAAATTCAGAGACTATCCTACTGACAAGGAAGATCGTTTTCAAAATAAGGCCACAGGAAAAAAAAAAAAAACCTCAGTAAAGGTTTCGACATTTTCTATAGTACTTACTTCTTATTTCTACTCAGCTTACCTTTCTAGTCGTCAGTATGAAGGCTTCTTACCTTCCGTACAATACTATTGCACATCCAACAATTCTCAGGCAACGTATATCAAATCTGAAAGAAAATTCCCCTACAGGAGTATCATTCTTGTAGCCACACAGAGCCTTTACAACTTTAGAGTATTTTAAGAATACTCTAAACTTTTTTTTTTTTAAAGAAAACTTCTGTGTGTTACTTCTATTGAATCTTCTTAAAGATACTCTGACGTGAGTGGAGAAGTTTGGTTATCATTTTTTTCTAGATGGATAAAATGAAGCCCAGGGAGGTGAATGGAAAGAAGGCCAAACACTGCATTAGTGAGGAAGGTTAACTTTCTGGCCCTCGTACCTTGCCTTCTAGAAGACCCTCATTCACTCTTTTTTTTTTATTTTTATTTTTCGGTACGCGGGCCTCTCACTGCTGTGGCCTCTCCTGTTGCGGAGCACAGGCTCCGGGTGCGCAGGCTCAGCGGCCATGGTTCACGAGCCCAGCCGCTCCGCGGCACGTGGGATCTTCCCGGACCGGGGCACGAACCCGTGTCCCCTGCATCGGCAGGCGGATTCTCAACCACTGTGCCCCCAGGGAAGCCCCCTCATTCACTCTTGATAAGCTTTCCTCCCCACCTTGCATTCCCCCTTCTCTCTTTTGATCTTTTTGTATTCTAAATTTATCCAAATTCCATCGTTTTCCCCTAAGATAATATTCTTACCAGTAGAAGAACTGCCCCGTTTCCTTTACCACCCTTGCAGTCTCAGTGGTGCCTAAAATCACCCACAAAATGAACGCATAAACTCCCAGGGCAAAAAATAATCGTCTTATTAAAATGACTGGAATACGTTTGTTTTTTTTCTCAAGTTTCATGTCAATTGTTTTTATTTGCCTCTGGAAGTTTTATGGAACCATGTGTTGACCAAATACCATGTTTTGCTCTCTGTAAAAATGCAGAACGTATCAGTGGCCCCGGGTTCAGCTGACGTGGTTGCCAACGGGGATGGGATGCCTGGCGATGAACAAGCTGAAAACAAGGAAGAAGACCAAGCCGGTGTCGTCAAGTTTGGATGGGTGAAAGGTGTGCTGGTGAGAAAGCTTCTGTGTTTACAAATGAAAACTATCTGTTCAATGTCCTAGTGGACTAAGTGTTAATAAGGCCTGAACACCAGAGTTACAAAGATGGCTGGGTGCTGCCCCACTGTCACTTCTCATGTCCTTTTCCATGCTCCCTCAACCCACAGGTAAGATGTATGCTGAATATCTGGGGTGTCATGCTCTTCATTCGCCTCTCCTGGATTGTTGGAGAAGCTGGGATCGGTAAGCACTTTTTCCCTCCTATGCAGTTTTCAGTGTAAATTAAAAACTCAATAAGCAACTTGTTTTCACCATTAACACTGAATGTGAGATGAAGATCGCAGAATTAATCTGCACTTGGGCTCTTTTACTTTGCCTCTTTGACAATGTCTGTCAGAGAAGACAGGTAAAGTGTTAACTCCTGGGAGACTGGAATTTTCCAGCCTGCCAACCAGATAAATGCTCAAGTAAATATTTCATCTTTTCATAGAGTTTTAGGTGTACAAGTATACAGAGATACATTCATCTTAAATAATAGTATTCATATTTTGGGACATACTGACATTCATCAGAATATCCCCCTTACGATTATTAGCAAAACATCACTGAACAAAAATAACTTGTGGGAAAACTGGTGAAACTGTGACTTGACTAATAAAAATGCTGAATTGTTGAACATTTTCCAGAGAAAACAGTGTTACTTGCAGGTACAAGTAGTAAGAAAACAAAGGTTAATAAACTATTGCCAGATAGAAGCTTAAAAAGATAGGCAAAAAGACCAAGATAATGTATATAACTATCGGTAATTTTGCTAAATGGAAATGGATGAGGTTGAAATTATTTTGAGTGCTTATTTAATGTTTTTAAATATTGTATTTTATTTAAAGTATTGTTTCCTGTGGCAAATATTTTTATTGTGAGTATACCACTAAAATTTATATAAAAATTTATTTGAATTATATAAAAGTTTCTGATTCAATGTGATAAAAATTAATGATGTTCTACTCTCTATATGAAAAACACATTATAGGTTCACTTTGTGGGGGGCACACCTGTAAATCATTAGTATCAAGAACACAGAAGTTCAGATGTGCTTTCAGATTCTACTCCAAAGTGTGTCTCAATTCACATTTAAAAGGTACTTGGTCATTATTTATTGCCTTCGCTCCTCAAAACAGATTCAGAATCACCAGAAGACTTAATGCGAAAAAGAGCTGGAACCAGTTCCCATAGTTTTTCCTCTTTGTGTGTTTGGCAACTGCTGGGCTCCTGACAAAGGGCTTCTTGCTGGCTTTATGATGCATATCAAATGAACACTTACAGCCTCAGGGTCCAAAATAAGTATATGCTATTCCATGGAAAATCTGCATCTTAATATTGCCAAACTGTTGCTCCAGGGTTTCATGCAAAATTAGTTTTTTAAGGGCAGTTTAGTAACTTATTGAGATCATCAGGAAACATTACTTTGTTTGGAGGTGTGAGTGTAGCCCAGGGCAGAAGTGATTCTTTTTAATGCAACTTATTTAAAATCCGTACGTTTGGGTAATAATCTGAACTTTAATCAGATCTTACATTATTCTTCACAGTCAACCCAGTTTCATGTTTATTGCAAAATTGTAGAATATGAAGAATTCTATCTTCTGCTAAACTGTTTATTATACTTTCAGACATCAGTATTGTTTTAATAAGGATCTTTTATTTAAGTAGTCAAATCCAACTTCAGAAGAGAGTAGAGTTCTACCTAAATGGGTGTCCAGTGGGTTTTCCTTTGAATGGAGGTTTTTTTGGTTTTTTTTTATTCCGAGAAAATAGACTTTAGTGAGTAGTAGAAACTTACTATCACCCTTACTCAGTTTTACTGGACTTTGTCACGAACTTAAAGCTGAAGGAGTTGATTAAGTCACCATCTGGGTCCAAACTGGGTCCCCTTTACTGGGAAAGAAGACAAACAAGTACAAGCAGTACCCCCTTCTGGCTTTGGGGGTAGCCTGGGGAAGAAACCTGAATATACTTTCAAGCTCAGACCCTGGGGAAAAAGCCAGAAGGAAGCTGTAGCCAGGAGTAATGGTAGCTACAGTCCTTGGGTAACCATCTGGGGCTATAAGTTCTGGCTGCCTTGTCCCCAAAAGCAATTGGTAGAATGAGCTGATAATGCCATCTAGTTGTTCTCTGTCTTGACCATCTTGGCTGGGGCATGATGGTATCCAATAAACTTAAACATCAAGCAAGGAAGAAGGGCATGAAAAGCAAGTACGACCTGAAGCAAGTCATTTATATTTGGTGTGTTTCACTGTCTCATCTGAAAATTAGGGAGCTGGATTAATTGTTTCCCAATCAACTCTTTGAAGAACGTTGCTGAACAGGCAGACACAAATTGCGATTGGCTGAGGGTAGCTCAACAATAATCTTCAGACTATGGGGTGCATAACCATTACCTGGGGAGATAGTTACAAAACTGCAGAATCCTGGGATTCACTTGGAAAGATCCAAAGTCAGTAAGTCTGGGCATTTTTAATAAGCACCCCAGGCATTTCCTGAAGCAGGTGGTTCAAGGACTGAAGTTTGAGAAAACTATGAACTGAATGTTTTCTAAGCTGCTTTTGCCCTGGGATTTTATGTTTGATTGTGAGAGGGAAGCAAATCCCTTGCTGTTTAAATGCATACAACTTTGTTCCAGGATTTTAGATGGTTTACAGAAATATATATGATGCCAAAGGATAAATTAAGAATTGTGTGGAAAATAAAGCAAAGGGAATATAAGGGGTAGGGAAATAATAAAAGTCAGAGTAGGTTTAATGTCATGAAATGCAAACTATTTGGCTCTCTACTGTTGCTGGGGTGAGCTAAACATTTGGTATCAAACTTCCTCAAGATAAAGTTGAGTTAAAATAAAGTGAAAAAAAAAAAAGAAGTCACCTTTACTGGCACACAGACTTGAAGTTGCACAGTGATGTAGAGGCGACGCTCACCCCAGGATCCCTGCAAAAGATACAAAGAATTTAGTGCAAGCATTTCTTATAACACCAAATGTGCAAGAATCTATAGGGGCCAAACCAATATAGTCTAAGTTTGCATCTCATACCCATGGTTAGCCTCTTCCTACTGCACTTTAACTGTAAAATAGCCTAGAAACTTCTGCTAGAGCCAGGATATAACTGGAGGCATCAAAAGAGCCAGCTTCCAATACCTCATTCCCATTTCTGTGCTTAACTTCCTTCCACTTCCCCTTTTTCTAGGGCATGGCCAGAGAGATCGCAGCCTCTCCTGGCTAACTGCCCTTTTTATCATCCTTGGAACAAGCGAGGCTATCAACAACAATTATGAAGCATTCACTTTATGTCAAGGAACACACCAAACAGACCTAGGCAAGCACATTCTGGCTGGAGCCAGGGTGATTTCAGTGCCTACAAGTTCTCCCTGAATTTAAGGTTGATCTCCACTGAGGAGGGTAATGTAGGGGAGGAAGAACTGTTTTCCCTCTACTCATCTTAGGCTCATTGCCTAGGGCCCTGTAAAGTAGACTGACAACACACAGATTAACAAGAGAACAATCAGAAATTTATTAATATGTGCATCGTGCATGTACATGGGAATCTTCAGCACTGAGTAACTCAAAGGGGTGGTTAGAACTTGGGCTTATACAAGCATCTGAACAGGAAAACACATTTTTAGAGAAGTAACAAGACAAAGGAAAAGACTGAGTTTCTAGAGTGGCACATTGTGGGAAGGCAAATACATGGGGGAACTAATGGAAGATAAGGGCTAGTTAGTAAAGTCTATATAGATTCCTCTAGTACCATCTCCAGCTGTCTCCAGTCTCTAGCTGATAACTGTCCCCAGTATAGAGGAAAGAGGAGACGCCATTACAAAGCTATGTCCTGCCTTTAGGCAAATAAGCAGTATCTTCTTCTTTTCAACTGTCTTTAGCTCAAAATAATCCTTATGCTAAAGTGGCAAATTTTGGGACAGCATATTCTGCTACCCTTCAGTGTCCTCCTAGCTGTGTATTTCCTGAAACTGAAAGCAGCCTTGCCTTCCTCTGAATTCTGGTCTACTTTCTCCCTCTCATAATAAATGATTCTGAACCATAAGATCCTTGAGGGCAGCTTTTTTCATTTTTATTTTTCCTTGCATTTCACATACCGCCTAGCACAGCTGGATATATAGTTGGCTTTTAATAAACAATAGCTGTTATGACTATTGTGGATTTGATCAAAAAGCAGTGCCATTGATTATGTGCTGTGTTCTATGCACTATGCTACTTTACTTTACACATGCATTCTGTCTTTATACACGCCACTACTTTCTTTATACACGGCCACTTTACACACGCATTCTTTCTAGTTTCATTGTCATTTTTGGCTCAGAAAATAGGTAACTTGCCAGAGTTCACATAGCCAGTAAGTAAGTGTAGTTTGATTTGATTCTTTCTACTTCACTCATCTGCCAGATGAACAATCTTCTAGACTATATGTAATCTTCCACTCCTACACAATCGAATATGCATAAAAAGATACTTCCCTGGAAGGATGAATATCTACACTCTAGTAATATTAACAGCTTGGGATTGTTCAGACCAATTATTATGTTTATGGGTGTCTGGAACTTCATAAACAGTGAGGTTCATGTTGAATTTTGACCAGCCATAGTTGTTTGGTTATGTGAAACTTTGCACTGCACAGCTTAGGTCTTGAGTTTCTTGGATCTGTGCTACTTCAGGCAGAAAACTTCAATGCTGGGCATTTCCTCTGTGGTGATTTCCAGACCAACTTGTTAAACTCAAATGTGGTCCTTTGGTGATTACTCTAGACTTGCTGGCTTTTATGTAAGTGATCTAATGGATTATTCCACCATTTAATTGCCTTTATTTTTCCTCTCTCAACTGAGGTCTTGGTGTGATTATCATCGGCTTAGCCGTGACAGTGACTGCTATCACTGGTTTATCCACCTCTGCTATTGCTACAAATGGATATGTCAGAGGAGGTAATTAAACCTGTGACCCGCATGATCATTTGTAAGGTAAAGGCAACACAGGCTCAAATAGTTCACCACTGACCTTTCTGGAGTGTTTTCAAAGGTAATCCAAGTTGGTTCATTTTTTTTACCCCCTGCCAGACAAAAGAGATGCAAGAAAAATGGAGAAGGATTTAACCTTTGTCAAACTCCCAACTTTCTCATTCAGGTTCCTCTCCAGCAAGAGAGAAGGTCAAATGTTATGTTTTCTCTTTTCGCAGCCAGGGTAGTTTCTCTCCCAGGACACCAGCGTAAGTCAGCTTTTCCTTTCCAGGGCTGCATTTTAGATTGTGTTTGCTTTTGGAAACCATCCTTCATCATAATGAGCAGTTCTCCAACTTGGTCTTTACGCCAGGCAAACCCGTTTCTCCTTAGCACGAAGGAACTCCACTGGGGCCCAAGGCTTGGATGTGAACACTTAAATTCAAAGCAGTATAGTTTGCAGCAATAGGGAATCAAAGGAAGAAAAGTAAAATGTAATATCTTCTGTCTTTCATTGCTAACAGGTCTTGGAGTTCTCATAATTCTTCTTTCCACCATGGTAACTTCTATTACTGGGTTGTCAACTTCTGCAATAGCAACTAACGGGTTTGTTCGTGGAGGTAAAATTTCTAAGATATCTAAATGCTCTCATCACACTTGCTACGGGTAGGCGAAAACTTTTCATTATACTTCTTTTTGGTGGGAACAAGAAAGCAGCCCAATGTTCTTGAAGTCTGGCTAACTATGTGGATGAGCTGGACACAGAAGGAAACACAAGGTACTGTGCGTATAGTCCTGGTCTACTCTCGTCAGCTGTGGTCTCTTTTCTAATGGTCCTCTCTGGCACGTTGCAGGTCATGATTTCCAGATGCTCAAATTCCTTGGGTAAATGCTTTCTTTTTCAGGCTACTGCACACCTCTTGCCGGTGTTTCTTGGGAAATGACTTCTCGACACAGCTTCAGTTTTAAAGTTTAGTACATTTCAGGTGCTTCCTAGACCTAGATGGAATGGGATCTTTTAGAACGTTTCAGGTTTTTCATAGGGAGACTGTTCCTTCCTTGACAAGATTCAGACTGCTGCCTCCTGAAGTACTGGTGACTTCTTGAAGTACTGGAGCCAAACACCTTTCTTGGGGGATTTTTCAGGTCTTGGAGTCATCATCATTGGCCTGAGTGTGGTAGTGACAACGCTCACAGGTATTTCTATGTCCGCTATTTGCACAAATGGAGTAGTAAGAGGAGGTAAGCCAATTCATGTACTTATGGCTATAAGCTTTGATTATGTAGTAGTGTCTAGAGTTGGTTTAATGTTGGAAGTAAAATTTGTACATTGATACTTAGTCCCCAGAAGCCCTAAAACAAAACAAAATAATCCAAAATTTAAACAGCAAGGCATGATTCTTTTCCACTAAAATTAAGAGATCTCCAGAAAAGATTTTTTTGGCCCACTTCCTGTGATTAAACATGTTTATAAAGTAGAGAATGACCAGGTGTCTAGAAAGAAAGCATAGAGTATTAGAGTGAAATAAACAGTTTCTTTGTGCCTTGGACGGACCCCAATGGCTCTCTCCCAGGGCCCCTCAGAAGGGGTCTTCTCCAGCACCCCAGCTGACACCACTGACACTTCCCACTCAGTGAGCCTTCAGAGTTCACCCCAACACTATGCTCCTAATGGCCAATAAGCTTGAGAAGATTCTTAAAAAGAAAATAAAAACAAATAAAACAAAGAGTTACTTTCAAATCATCCAGGAACAAGCAGGCCTGGGCAGAGAATGAGGGGTTGAAGCTTGTCTTATTGTTCTTCCAGCTTCCTTTCTTCCCCCTCCAATTCTGTTTTGGCTCCTGGGGTCTCTACTTGGGTACCTTATCCAGATCTCCCTACCCAGGGCCTTCTAAAACACCATCCTACCTACAAAACAGCTCCTCTCACAGCTCCTGCCTGTCTCTCATTTTGACCAAGCCTAGTAACTTGCTGCTAACTTATTTAATGTAATCAGGACAAAGAAAGTCATGGGGATTTGCCCCACCCAAATAAAAGTTTACATTTTTAGAGAGGATGTTGTCGTCTTAACCCAAAGGAGTCATGGTGGAGGAAACAGTGAAAACTTTTCAGTGAAGGATAATTTTGGCTGTAGATATGTGTGTCCAGTGTCATTCCTTTACCAATTCTGTCTACTTCTAAGGCTAGCTCAGTATAGGAAGTCATTGATTCACTATGGTCTGTGATAACACCTAGTTATCTAGGCCTTTCAACATCTAGTCATTTTAACCTTCAGTAACATGCTCTCAGAACTCTTGAGGTAGTTAACTATTCTGGCTCAGTCTTTCCTGTGCCCAGAAGTATACAGCCATGAGCAGAACCTTCTTTTCAAGGTCCAAGGGAGAAGCAATCGTTCCAGGCCCTCCCTACCTTACTTCCCATTTGCCACACCCATACACATATGGGTATTTGGCAATAACCATGCCTTCTTGAGCTAAAACCATCAAAACTAAGTCTGATTTATAGAGCGGATAATCCATAGCACTATACAGGTACCTTTTTAATGTAGTAAATGTGTACCAGTAATTATACCAGAAAGCGAGTTAGAACGACAATGATAAACTTTATCCACTTCATTCTCCGCCTGGGCCTGCCTGTTCCTGGAAATTTCAGATATGAAATTTTACTTCAGTTACATTATTAACTTGAACTCGCCAATGAAGTTTTTTAAAAGACAAAGAATTTGTGGGGTAAAGTTTGCTGTATTCTTATTAGTAGCATTTGTGTATTATAGGTTTCAATAAATTGGATTTTATTTAGTCAGAGTAGTTCTATTGTAGATTATATACAGAATATAAGGCAGGGCTAAGTTATTCATTACAGTGAACAAGATTTCTAAAATTACTAGGATTTATAATATTTTTATTAGAATAATTAGTATTTTAAATGTTCTCAGACATTCAAAATCATTTGGTCATACAAACTAAATCCTCTAAAAGTTCCTCAATGTAAAGCATGTTCATTTCTTGTTTCAGGTGGGGCCTACTACCTTATTTCCAGAAGCTTAGGGCCCGAGTTTGGTGGGTCTATAGGCTTGATCTTTGCTTTTGCCAATGCAGTGGCTGTTGCTATGTATGTGGTGGGATTTGCTGAGACTGTGGTAGATCTTCTTAAGGTAATTAAAAGCTTTTCTTTTCTTCACCCAAGCAAGATAATTTGGTTTATTTTGCTTTTTCAGGGCACTAGGGGATATCATTATGGCAAGATGAGAGCAAACAGATTTATTCTGCAGAATGTGGAAGCTGAATATAGTTGAAGGATCCCTAGGCTTGGCATCAGAACTGGCTCAGAGTCCTGGCTCTCACACTTACCAGCTGAGAGATTTTGGACCAGTCCCTCTGTTCATCTGAACCTTGTTTTTCAAATCTATAGTATGGGCTAATAATATTGTTTATGTCTTTCACAGAAATGTGGTACAGATCAAATGAAATAATGTACATGAAATACAGTGTAAAATATGAAAGAAAAGATAATGGGAATTATTGTCAGCAGCAATATTACTATTATGGTTATAGATTTCCAAAGGGGAAGAAAGTTCAAACATTAGAAGAACTCACTGCAGGAAACTGGGCCTTTTTTAGTTTAGGTGCCCCATCTGGATGGTATATATGTGAACACATTAATTAGCTAGTATATGAGCTAACTTCTAGTCCTCCTTTCATGGTAATGATAGCAGACACTGAATTCAATTGGTACCTCTACTTGAAAATTAGATGAATAAATGAGTGGATTATAGTTCATAGTTTGTTCTTTAATTGAGTAGCATTTATTTTTTTTGATATTCACATTGGAAACCACTCATTTTTATTCTTCTAAGATTCCCCTTGACACATAAAAATAACTAGTCATTCTTCTGAAAAAAAACATGATATCTGTATGTACCCATATTTTTACTTAGTGCTACAGATTTAAAATCTGTGCCTAGAATGAATCCCTAAAATTTGTAACTCCTAACCTTGGCTATCAAAGGCCTATTATCACAGGAAAAAATAAATTTAGATTCTTCATCTTCTCCAATTTATGAGCATTTCATTTTTCCATTATCCTGTGTAGCCCCAAACATTAGTGCATGGTATCTCTTCTTACTGTTAAATTCTACGATAAGACATATAGGCAAAAAAAGCTTCTAACCATTTTAGTGATTTTTTTTTTGTTCCAGGAGAGTGATTCGATGATGGTGGATCCAACCAATGACATCCGGATAATAGGCTCCATCACAGTGGTGATTCTTTTGGGAATTTCAGTAGCTGGAATGGAATGGGAAGCAAAGGTGAATTTCTCAAAATGATATTACCAACAACTGCTAGTCAGCTTCCCGAACAAATTGCAGGAATAGAAGGAACTCCATATTCAAAAAGAATTGCTATTATTACTTTCTATGATAAAAGGAGCCAGGTCAGTGCTCGGTGGAACACCAAGCCCTCAAAGCACAAAGTCCAGGCAGTCCAGCTCATGTGATCAGGCCTGTGCTTTGCCCTTGATGCTATAGTAACAGTAACGGAGCCAACAAGATTACTGCCATCTTCACACCCTGGTATCCCCTTCCAAGCTGGCTGTGAGTGCTGAAGCCCACAAGAAATGGCAAGTGTGTTGGGAGAAAATAACAGGCAGAAACTATCATTCCCCTCTGAAATCCAGTACTCCAGCAGCAAATTTGAGGGCATCAGAAGCCCTGGAACTAGAGAATATCTGGATTTAACTATTAGTAAATCAGTTAGTAAACTTCTGAATGATGGAGAGCATGTCTTTTGCTTGCTTTGTAACTCTCAACAGTGACTAGTACAATTGAAACTCCTATGTTCCTATGTGCCTGGAGGTGCAATAACGAGACATCAAGTGGTCACCAGAAATGGAAAGATAGCCAAAGCCTCCCACTTACATAAGGCAATAGGAAACATTCCCACCTGGCATTAATTTCCAGATTATGCGTTCATACATTAAACAAAAATTGACGAAGTGTTTATCATGTGCTGGGCATTCTGCTAGGCACTGTATATTCAGTTGTGACCCACACAGGCACAATCCCTGCCATAGTTGAGCATATGGTCTACGGGGAGCTGAGTAATAAACAAGCACATAAACAAGGAAATATAGAATGGTAAATTGTGAAAGTGCTATAAAGTAAATAAACAGGGCACTGAGATAGAACGTAACAGGGGGAACATACGTCAGATTATTCCCTGAGGGAGGCAATGTAGTTTCATGACAGTAGAAGGTAGAATTCAGAGCTCCAGCTCTGTAGTTAGAGTGGAGTTGAACCTGGTTTATGTCCATATGACCTTTAGTAAATTACTTCACCTCTCTGTTTCTCAGCTTCTTTATCTTTAAAATGATGATAGCAGTATTACCTACTTCATACAGTTGTGGGTGGAATTATTTACCTGAAAGAATATTGGTAAAGTTAGATGTGCATCTGTTGTATTGTAAGCCCTCTGTGAACATTAGCTGTTATTGTTTAGATTCAGTGATCAAGAAAGGCCTCTCTGAGGAGGTAACTAACACATAATGGATGAGAGGAAAGATACAGTTTTGCAAAGTATAGGGAAAAGTGTGTTTCCAGCAGAGGGAACAGCATATGGGAATGCCAAGCCAATAACCTCTATGAAATGTCAGATGGACTAAAGAACAGTGATTTGGCTGGTCAACCTTGCAGACCGCTTATGCTGGGCACACACTGGTATGGTAGCCCAACGTCAAGTGCACTAGGCATCATGGGAATTCTATGCATCATTCTGTGTTCTCATACTCCTTCTGCAGTTATTACTGGAATCCATAGGTGCTCTGCCTAGGAAAGAAACCAACTCTATCAGTGTTCAATCTTTTGGCTCCATCTATATTCTTAGGAACACTGCACTAAGTTACCCAGTTAGTACTTGAAATGCTCTTGAAATGTCACCTTCAAGTGCCTAAGCACATGCACCCACTGAAAATGTAACATCTATACTCAGGCCAAATAAGGCTCATTAAGATGCCATTTTATGAGAACACACTTATTACCTACTTTGGATCGTAGAATCTTAACTGGAATTATTAGATAGGGTCTTTCTTCAGTGGGCACTTATAACTTTTATAATTATGTAAAAAGTCATTGAATAAATCTAATTTGACCTCCTGTTACTTTGTCATTCCAGGCTCAGGTGATTCTTCTGATCATTCTTCTCATTGCTATTGCAAACTTCTTCATTGGAACTGTCATTCCATCCAACAATGAGAAAAAGTCCAGAGGTTTCTTTAATTACCAAGGTACATACAACAAATAACTTGCTCTGCAATAAATGGTTCTCCATTGACTGCCCCCATCACCATCCCCATGATTCCTACCCCGGCCACTGGAATCCCAGTGTGATCCAGGGAAGAGCCTGGGGTTGGAGTCAGGAGAACCAGAGTGAGTCTCAATCCTGCTGCAAACTGACATGATTGCTTCTCAGATTTTCCTGCCAAGGTGGGGGTAATGATAACAACTTCCTAAAGGGATTTTGAAAAGCAAGTAAGATAGCAGATGTTAAAGTGCTTTGGACACATCGTTGTCTCTGTCAAAGAGTAGAAATAGAAGTAGAGTGCATGTACAAGAAAGAGAACATAGCTCAGACAATGTGTCCAACCACTGAGAGCACTGAAGTCAAACACAGTCACTTTTTCTTCCTGCTAGAATTTTGTACCTTGCTTTCTTATAGCATTACCTAGTTGAGCATCACTGTCAGGTTTTCAAGCATAAAAGATTGTAGGAGTTATTAATATAGCATCTGTGATAATGGCATGGCACTGGGCATAAGTTTTGACTTCTCTCTTCTATTCTACTCTGCCTATCCACTCTTTCCTATCTTCCCACTCTAGTTTACTCAAGAATCCACTGCTGAGGGCTTTTTACATTTCCCTTCATTATTTACTCAGTTGTCAGTATTTGTTCCCTTTTTATATCACATCACTTCTTTCTTCCTGATTCTTTTTCTTTGTAAAATTTTCTTGTTTGCTTTGCAAATCCTTTTCCTTTTGATTCTTTTCCCTTCTTCCAGCTCCTGCTGTAATTTTTGTTTTAAATTTTCTTTCCTTATTTTTGCATCATCCTAGATTCTTTTGTTCATATTTTTCTTCCATTTCTTTCTTTGTTTTTCTTCTACATTGTTCCTTTTCTTTTTTTTAAAGTTTTTTCTTTTTTTTTAAACTAAGTAATTTTTTGGGCTGCATTGGGTCATTGTTGCTGCACGTGGGCTTTCTCTAGTTGCAGCAAGCAGGAGCTACTCTTCATTGCAGTGTGCAGGCTTCTCACTGCGGTGGCTTCTCTTGTTGCTGAGCACAGGCCCTAGAGCGCACGGCCTTCAGTAGTTGTGGTGTGTGGGCTCAGTAGTTGTGGCTTGCAGGCTCTAGAGCACAGGCCCAGTAGTGCTTGTGGTGCACGAGCTTAGTTGCTCCGCGGCATGTGGGATCTTCCCAGACCAGGGCTCGAACCTGTGTCCCCTGAATTGGCAGGCGGATTCTTAACCACTGTGCCACCAGGGAAGTCCCCGTTTCCTTTTCATTTAAATAATTTGGTGACAACCTGTGGGATATTATTATTTTATGACTAAAGCTCCTCCCTCTCTCTCTCTCTCGCTCTCTCTCTCCATATATATGTATTATATATAAAGAGAGAATATATATATATAGTCACCTATGCATGCGAATTTGGTATAAGGATCTAAGATCCAACTCTAGATACAGGGGCAGGGAGGTTAGTACATTAGTAAAAAAAAACTCTAAGGACTTCCCTGGTGGCGCAGTGGTTGAGAGTCCGCCTGCCGATGCAGGGGACACAGGTTCGTGCCCCGGCCCGGGAAGATGCCACATGCCGTGGAGTGGCTGGGCCTGTGAGCCATGGCCGCTAAGCCTGCGTGTCCGGAGCCTGTGCTCCACAACGGGAGAGGCCACGGCAGGGAGAGGCCCACGTACCGCAAAAAACAAACAAACAAAAGAAAACAAACAACAACAACAAAAACCTCTAAGATAGCCTCACCCACAAGTTTCTCCTACAATGCTTTTTAAAAAGGCATAGAAAAGCAGTGTGCTGATTAAGGTGCATATATATGTGAGAATGTAGCTGTATGTGTGTAGGGCAATGTTGTGCGGTATATTTGTGAGTATGCCAGTAGGGTCATGAGAGAATTTTCCATTTCCTTCTTTTTCAATCTTCTAGATTCAAAGAAGGTAGACAGCATGGGTCTCTGTTTGCATGAAAATTATTGATTTTTCAGGGTATGTCCTAGAGATCTAAAACCTTCTGACATGTATTTTGACTCTTGGCAAATATTCACATGAGGCTCATCAGCAGTACACCAATATCTTCAAGCTCATTCCGTTTAGATTATAGGGACCCTTTGCATTTAGGGCTATAGAAGCCAAATGTAACTTTATCTCCTACCTGTGAAGAAAGTCTACATGATAATTTTCTCATTATTTGTGTTGCAGCATCAATATTTGCAGAAAACTTTGGGCCAAGCTTCACAAAAGGTGAAGGCTTCTTCTCTGTCTTTGCCATTTTTTTCCCAGCAGCAACTGGGATTCTTGCTGGTGCCAATATCTCGGGAGATTTGGAGGTATGTTGTTTCCTCTGCTTTGTAATTCTGCGAGGTCATGGTGCACTTGGGCAGGACAAGGAGCTACAGACATCAACAGTGACCATGTCTCTCTATAGATTTCAAAACTGTAAGATTTCTGCAAGGTTTCCTATTTATTTAAAAGTTCTCTCTTCAATGACACATTTTACTGCCAAACTATACTATTCCAGATAGTTCTTCCAAAAGTCTTATTCAGTGATATCAGAAGGACAGAGTATATTGACAGTGTGTCATATTTCCAACAAAATGAATATAATTCAGTGAAAAAAAAATATCAGAACCGGGCTTCCCTGGTGGCACAGTGGTTAAGAATCCTCCTGCCAATGTAGGGGATACGGGTTCGAGCACTGGTCCGGGAGATCCACATGCCACGGAGCAACTAAGCCTGTGCGCCACAACTACTGAGCCTGTGCTCTAGAGCCCATGAGCCACAACTACTGAAGCCCACGTGCCTAGAGCCCGTGCTCAGCAACAAGAGAAGCCACTGCAAAGAGACACCTGCGCACCGCAACGAAGAGTAGCCCCCGCTCGCTGCAACTAGAGAAAGCCCTCGCACAGTAACAAAGACCCAATGCAGCCAAAAATAAATAAATTTATTTTTAAAATATATCAGAACCACCCTTTCTCTTTTAAACACATAATGAATGGAATATTCAAGAAAAAACAAAAACAAAACCAAATCACTTTATTACTGAATACTTATGTCGTTAAATTCAGAGGTACATTCACTCATTTAATAGGTATTTATTTAGCAGTCTACTCATAATATTCTATGTTAAGTACTGTAAGGAGCATTGTATTAGTTAGGATATTAGTTTCAATGTATTATAAAAGGCCAAGAACAGTGACCTAAATAAGACAGAAGTTTGTTTTCCTAGTGCGTAAAAATTCAAGGCCATACGCCATCTACTGGAATAAGAAAGGTCTGCTCCCAAAGGTAGCCCAGAAAACCCAGATGACTTCTCTTGTATTACCATTACCTTGGGGTTTGCCCTCATCTTCAAGGTCCAAGATGACTGATCACTTCCAAGATCACATTCCAGTCCATAGGAAGGGGGTTAAGGAAGTAGAGAGCAAAAAATCACTTCTGTTGACATTCCATTGACCGGAATTTAGTCTCTGTGACCTTACCTAGTTGCAAAGAAGACCGGGAAATGTAATCTCTAGTTGGACAACTATGTCACCAGATAAAATTTTAGGGGGTTCTAGTATTAAAGGGAGGAAGGTGAAAATGTATATTAGAGGACAATAAATAGTCTCTACCACATGTGAAAAAAAGTAGAAGACACAGGTTTTACCTCAATAAGTTTATAATCAACTTTGGAAGACAAGAAATATTTGCAAGAGTCATCAGGAGACAGGTATAAATGAAAACTGAATGCATTGTCCAAATTCATTATGAAATAAAAATAATGAAGAAATAATTACATTAGGGATGATTTTCTCAACAAAGTAACTTTTGAGCAGGAACTAAAAGCAAAGGCTGGATACTGACAACCGGTCAGAAAATATAAGGGTATTCCAGGAAGAAAAAACAAAAGAACAGACAGGAATGGGAAAACTGTGGGACAGTAAGGAGTCTCTCACAATTCAACTGAAGAAGCCTTGACGGGCTGGGTAACCTTATAAGGTAAGGAGAAAGGCTGTTGAAGGGACCTGAGCGAGAGAGGCTTACCCTAGAATACAATCCCATGAAAGTGGGGACTTTGCCTTTGGATTTGTGCACTGCTGTGTCCTTAGAGCTAGGAAAGCTTCAAAAAATATTTATTGAGTGAATGAATAAAGGCATTTAGACTTGTTATATTAAGGACCGCAGTGCCATGGTAAATTCTTTTTGTTTTTTTTAACATCTTTATTACAGCATAATTGCTTTACAACAGTGTTAGTTTCTGCTTTATAACAAAGTGAATCAGCTATACATATACATATATCTCCATATCTCCTCCCTCTTGCGTCTCCCTCCCACCCTCCCTATCCCACCCCTCTATGTGGTCACAAAACACCCAGCTGATCTCCCTGTGCTATGCGGCTGCTTTCCACTAGCTATCTATTTTACATTTGGTAGTGTATATATGTCCATGCCACTCTCTCACTTCATCCCAGCTTACCCTTCCCCCTCCCCGTGTCCTCAAGTACATTCTCTATGTCTGCGTCTTTATTCTTGTCCTGCCCCTAGGTTCTTCAGAACCATTATTATTATTATTTTTTTAGATTCCATATATATGTGTTAGCATACAGTATTTGTTTTTCTATTTCTGAATTAACTTCACTCTGTATGACAGACTCTAGGTCCATCCACCTCACTACAAATAACTCAATTTCGTTTCTTTTTATGGCTAGGTAATATTCCATTGTATATATGTGCCACATCTTCTTCATCCATTCATCTGTCAACGGACACTTACGTTGCTTCCATGTCCTGGGTATTGTAAATAGAGCTGCAATGAACATTGTGGTACATGACTCTTTGAATTATGGTTTTCTCAGGGTATATGCCCATTAGTGGGATTGCTGGGTCATATGGTAGTTCTATTTTTAGTTTCCTAAGGAACCTCCATACTGTTCTCCATAGTGGCTGTCTCAATATACACTCCCACCAACAGTGCAAGAGGGTTCCCTGTTCTCCACATCCTCTCCAGCATTTATTGTTTGTAGATCTTTTGATGATGGCCATTCAGACTGGAGTGAGGTGATACCTCATTGTAATTTTGATTTGCATTTCTCTAATGATTAGTGATGTTGAGCATTCTTTCATGTGTTTGTTGGCAATCTGTATAACTTCTTTGGAGAAATGTCTATTTAGGTCTTCGGCCCATTTTTTGGATTGGGTTGTTTGTTTTTTTGATATTGAGCTGCATGAGCTGCTTGTAAATTTTGGAGATTAATCCTTTTTCAGTTGCTTCATTTGCAAATATTTTCTCCCATTTTCAGGGTTGTCTTTTCGTCTTGTTTATGGTTTCCCTTGCTGTGCAAAGCTTTTCAGTTTCATTAGGTCCCATTTGTTTATTTTTGTTTCTATTTCCATTTCTCTAGGAGGTAGGTCAAAAAGGATCTTAATGTGATTTATGTCATAGACTATTCTGCCTATGTTTTCCTCTAAGAGTTTTATAGTGTCTGGCCTTACATTTAGGTCTTTAATCCATTTTGAGTTTATTTTTTGTGTATGGTGTTAAGGAGTGATCTACTTTCATTCTTTTGCATATAGCTGTCCAGTTTTCCCAGCACCACTTATTGAAGAGGCTGTCTTTTCTCCACCGTATATTCTTGCCTCCTTTATCAAAGATAAGGTGACCATATGTGCGTGGGTTTATCTCTGGGCTTTCTATCCTGTTCCATTGATCTATATTTTTGTTTTTGTGCTAATACCATACTGTCTTGATGACTGTAGCTTTATAAGAGTCGGAAGTCCGGAAGCCTGATTCCTCCAGCTTCGTTTTTCTTTCTCAAGATCACTTTGGCTATTTGGGGTCTTCTGGTTTCCATACTAATTGTGAAATTTTTTCTTCTAGTTCTGTGAAAAATGCCAGTGGTAGTTTGATAGGGATTGCATTGAATCTGTAGATTGCTTTGGGTGGTATAGTCATTTTCACAATGTTGATTCTTCCAATCCAAGAACATGGCATATCTCTTCATCTGTTTGTATCATCTTTAACTTTTTTCATGTGTCTTATAGTTTTCTGCATACAGATCTTTTGTCTCCTTGGTAGGTTTATTCCTATGTATTTTATTCTTTTTGTTACAACGGTAAATGGGAGTTTTTCCTTCATTTCTCTTTCAGATTTTTCATCATTAGTGTATGGGAATGCAAGAGATTTCTGTGCATTAATTTTGTATCCTGCTACTTTACCAAATTCATTGATTAACTCTAGTAGTTTTCTGGAAGCATCTTTAGGATTCTCTATGTATAGTATCATGTCATCTGCAAACAGTGACAGCTTTACTTCTTCTTTTCTGATTTGATTCCTTTTATTTCTTTTTCTTCTCTGATTGCTGTAGTTAAAACTTCGAAAACTATGTTGAATAATAGTGGTGAGAGTGGACAACTTTGTCTTGTTCCTGATCTTAGAGGAAATGCTTTCAGTTTTTCAGCATTGAGAACGATGTTGGCTGTGGGTTTGTCACAGATGGCCTTTATTATGTTGAGGTAAATTCCCTCTATGCCTACTTTCTGGAGGGTTTCTATCATGAATGGGTGTTGAATTTTGTCAAAAGCTTTTTCTGCATCTATTGAGATGATCATGTGGTTTTCCTGCTTCACATTGATTGATTTGTGTATATTGAAGAATCCTTGCATCCCTGGGATAAATCCCACTTGATCATGGTGTATGATCCTTTTAATGTGCTGCTGGATTCTGTTTGCTAACATTTTGTTGAGGATTTTTGCATCTATGTTCATCAGTGATATTGGCCTGTAGTTTTCTTTCTTTGTGACACCTTTGTCTGGTTTTGGTATCAGGGTGATGTTTGCCTCGTAGAATGAGTTTGGGAGTGTTCCTCCCTCTGCTATATTTTGGAAGAGTTTGAGAAGGATAGCTGTTAGTTCTTCTCTAAATGTTTGATAGAATTCGCCTGTGAAGCCATCTGGTCCTGGGCTTTTGTTTGTTGGAAGATTTTTAATCACAGTCTCAATTTCAGAGCTTGTGATTGGTCTGTTTATATATTCTACTTCTTCCTGGTTCAGTCTTGGAAGGTCGTGCTTTTCTAAGAATGTGTCCATTTCTTCCAGGTTGTCCATTTAATTGGCATAGAGTTGCTTGTAGTAATCTCTCATGCTCCTTTGTATTTCTGCAGTGTCAGTTGTTACTTCTCCTTTTTCATTTCTAATTCCATTGATTTGAGTATTCTCCCTTTTTATCTTGAGTCTGGCTAATGGTTTATAAATTTTGTTTATCTTCTCAAAGAACCAGCTTTTAGTTTTATTGATCTTTGCTATCGTTTCCTTCATCTCTTTTTCATTTATTTCTGATCTGATCTTTATG